CTCACAGAGCTCGAAGACTTCCTCCTGAGAAGCTGAAAATCGCTAAAAAAGAATTTGACGAGATGCTAAAACTGGGGATAATACAACCGTCGTCATCCCCGTGGGCAAGTCCTCTACACCTTGTACCTAAACAAGATAACAGTTGGAGGCCATGTGGAGACTTTCGATCATTGAACGCGGTAACGATACCGGATAAGTATCCTATTCCACATATTCAGGATTTCAGTCATTGCCTCTACGGCAAGAAAGTTTTTTCATCTCTCGATCTTGTTAAAGCTTATCACCAGATACCAGTTGCGGCGGCAGATCGACCCAAAACAGCTGTAATTACACCATTCGGTCTCTTCGAATTTCTGCGAACACCATTTGGCCTGAGGAATGCTGCACAATCTTTTCAACGCTTCATAGATCAAGTCTTGCACGGTTTAGACTTTACTTATGCCTACTTAGACGACATCCTAATAGCATCCTCGACTCCTGGAGAACATCTCCAGCATCTAGAGATGGTCTTAAAACGACTTAGTCAGCAGGATCTAGTCATTAACCCAAAGAAATGTGTTTTTGGCGTCGACACTCTTAAATTCTTAGGTGTTCAAGTTTCGTCAGATGGCATCAAACCTCTAGCAGAAAAAGTTCAGGCTGTACAAGACATGGAATTTCCGAAAACTTCAAAGGCTCTACAAAGATTTTTGGGAACAATTAACTACTACCGGCGTTGGATTCCGAATGCTGCCGAGTTACAATCTCCATTGAACTGTTTACTAAATGGCTGCACTCGTAAAGACCGACCAATTATCAGTACTCCAGAAGTAGTTGAAGCATTCGACAAATGCAAATCTTCTTTGCTGAACGTGGCTCTTTTAACGTATCCAGCACCTCACAGTAAGTTGAGCATTGCAACTGATGCCTCCGATACTGCTGTTGGCGGTGTTTTGCAACAACTCGTGGACAACGAACAACAACCCATTGCTTTCTTCTCGAAAAAACTCACCGGCACAGAAAGACGCTACAGCACTTACGACAGAGAGTTGCTTGCTATCTACAAAACAATTCTCCACTTTCAACACTTCCTCGAAGGTCGTATATTTACAATTTTCTGCGACCACAAACCTTTGATATATGCGTTTCAGAAAAAATCAGAAAAATCCAGCCCTCGCCAAGCACGACAGCTTGATTTAATATCACAATATTCTACCGACATTCAGTATATCAATGGTATCAATAACGTGCCTGCCGACATGCTTTCGAGAATTGCTACAATCTCTTGCAAGGCTTTAGACTCTTCAGTGCTAGCTACAGCACAAGCTGATGATCCCGATCTCCAACGCTTGAAACAAGAAGGCAAATTCACCTTTCAAGAAATTCAAGATCCTTTGTCAGCTCAGCATCTCTGGTACGAAACAACGCTAGGAAGAAATCGTCTATACATTCCGCCTCCGCACCGTCGTCACATCTTTGAATCTACGCATAACATCGCACATCCTGGCACAAAAAACTCCATTAAATTAATTTCCAGAAACTATTTCTGGCCAAGTATGAGAAAAGACACATCGAATTGGGTTAAGACCTGTCTTCAGTGTCAGAAAAACAAAATACATCGGCACATCAAATCGCCGATTGGAACTTTCTTGGATCCCGACGCAAGACTTTCGCATGTCCACGTAGATATAGTTGGTCCACTTCCACATTCAGAAGGTTTTGAGTACCTATTTACAGCCATTGATCGCTTCACGAGATGGCCCGAAGCTATCCCCATCACTAATATAACGGCTGAAACTTGTGCGAGAACACTTGTCAACCATTGGGTTTCTCGCTACGGAGTGCCCTCACAAATAACAACTGATCGTGGTACACAATTCGAATCAGTCCTCTTCTCGGAGCTTCGCAACTTAATCGGAGTTAACAGACTTCGAACGACCGCCTTTCACCCTATGTCGAATGGTCTTGTAGAAAGATTTCACAGGAGGCTTAAGACAGCTCTAAAATGTCATGACGCTCAGTGGGTACGAGCACTCCCTCTTGTGTTACTTGCACTTCGAAACGAAGTGAAGGAAAACATAGAAGCAACACCATCAGAACTTCTTTATGGTACAACATTAAGAATGCCTGGTGACCTCACAGACCCGCGACTGATACAGACTTCACAACCATTTGCGGATTCAACATTCGCCGATAAGATCAGAAACGTTATGCAGAAGATAGCCTACACTAGAACAACTCACAACCGCGAACAAGACGTTTACGTGCCAAAAGACTTAGGAACTGCAAATTTCGTTTTTGTGCGCGTTGATCGTGTTAAACGGCCTCTTGAACCACCGTACGATGGTCCGTTTAAAGTGTTAGATAGAAATGACAAGTTCTTTACGCTTCTTATCAATGGTAAACCAAGTACCGTCTCTATAGATCGGCTCAAAGTCGCCTACATCGAACCTGATAAGCAGTATCCCACGCGAGCGAACATCACTCCAGAGAATACTTCACATCGAGATTCTGCACCAGTGAAGTCACCGTCGACAACGCGCTGTGGACGTGTGGTTCGGTCACCTGTCCGTTTCGGAACCGTAATCACAAATACTTAATTTTCAACATATTGTTTGTCTCGTTATCACATTGTTAATGAGTTATCTTAATTTTCGTTCGCGCCTCTCACTAGGAGGGGGGTACTGTAGCATCACCAGAGCTGCGGAAAAAGTAATGGCCGCTATGGTGACGAAAGAAACAATTTTTAGAAAAGTCTGTTTTTCGATAAAATAAAAAATAAATAAAAGTTTCCAATTTATAAAGTGCTTAGTTTAAATTCACGGACCTTCGACCACATTGCCCACATATTATATACCGACGTCTCGCGCCAAGATGGCTCGCGTCAAGATGGCTTACGCCAAAGTGTCCCTGCGCCAAGTTGGCTTTGCGCCAAAACGGCTCGCGCCAAGTCGGCCGCGCCAAATAGTCCCATTCCGGCAGCTACTATACATCCAACAACATACAATGTGTGCAACTAGTACGAAACGATAATGCCATTTTATACAACACACACTAGGCCCCAAACATGTTTACTCTATATTAAATGCACTACCGAAACGGCTGATGTTTTCACACCAATACATTCGAGTCTGCCGCCAGCAGGCGCCACCACTGTTTATGTCCGGACTCCGGCCTAGGACAATTCGGCGTCAAGATGGCTCGCGCCAAGATGCTTGCGCCAAAGTGTCCCTGCGCCAAGTTGGCCTTGCGCCAAAGTGGTTCGCGCCAAGTCGGCCGCGCCAAATAGTCCCATTCCGAGATGGCAACACGTATGGTACCTCTTACCTCTTGGACAGGCCATAACCTTTATACTAGTCGGCCGTGGTTTAACAATCGACTCTGAAAACTTAATATGGTCATTTAAACTTGTATAGTAATAAGTACGTGGGGCGGCTTGTCTTATGAGGCAGGTGATGCAATGCCTCAGCAATGAATTTTGCGTCTTATTAGTATTTTTATTATTTTTTAACGATACATTTCTGCCATTATATTGTGTTTTTCTTTTCTAAAATTTTAAAAATCAACAAGGAAAATTACTGCTCTCTTAATTAAACAGCGAGTTTTAACACTCGACACACAACATGCAGTTTCTAACGCGAATCAGACAAACTCGAAGCTTGCCTCTACAGTAGATGCAAAATTGATGTCCGTTAATATGCAAGCAATCTACAATACACTCATAAGCGGTATGAGTTGAAAAACGAAAAAAGATAAAATTGAGGCTAGCCTCATTTCCGTGCTTGCAATAGTTATATACAACACTTTACGATTGCAATACACGTTTTGCAGGAGTACTCAAAATTTGTTTTGCGATAAATCTGTGTATAAATAGATTCAAAATTTCGGTAACACAATTTTATGTTAAACGGGCCTACGTTTGCGTTTGTCGAGTACGTGCTTTGTGGTAAATTATAGCAAATCGGAATTTTTCTCTACTTAATGTTTGATGACAAACATTCCAAAATCCCGCAAGCTGCATGGACTCGGGTCCGCGCCAAATAGTCCCATTCCGACAGCTACTATACATCCAACAACACACAATGTGTGCAACTAGTACGAAACGATAATGCCATTTTATACAACACACACTAGGCCCCAAACATGTTTACTCTATATTAAATGCACTACCGAAACGGCTGATGTTTTCACACCAATACATTCGAGTCTGCCGCCAGCAGGCGCCACCACTGTTTATGTCCGGACTCCGGTCTAGGACAATTCGGCGCGGCCGACTTGGCGCGGATGAATTCGCATAAAAAAATAGATATAAATATATAAAAAAATTGCAGCCGTTGTTAGCATAACCTAATTTTTATAGTCACCAACACGTGGAGGGGTAATGTCGACTTTTTAATGGACACGGGCGCTTTGCTCCCTGCACCCCATTATAAACATACTCCTAACCGTGAAACTTCTTGCTCCGTGGATTATTTAGTTATTGGAATTTGTGCGAATGAAACTGTGTATTTGATTGCCTACACTTGGCATAAATAACAAGGTGCTACCCACAGTACGATCAATAAATATTTTTTATATTATATACCGACGTACTCGCGCCAAGATGGCTCGCGCCAAGATGGCTCGCGCCATGATGGCTTGCGCCAAAGTGTCCCTGCCCCAAAATGGCTCGCGCCAAGTCGGCCGCGGCAAATAGTCCCATTCCGTCGGACTCTATAGCATAAAGCTTTTAGTCCAAATTTTTGCTGCGGCAGTAATTTGAAATATACCCCACTAAATCTAAAATAGGTGAAAAACCTGGTATTCATATGTGTGAAAATTATCACAAAATGTTACCGCCAGTAAAAACTGTACAGAATAAAAAACGGTCAGACATCGAAAACGCTAACAGTTCATGACATATTTTCATACATGTGTTATAGACAGCGTAATTTAAATATATTGCAAAAAATGTTCAAAATGCGATTTATTCACACATCATCTTCAGTACATTAATAATAATTATTATTTTAAAAACGTACCTGTTAATGGAACTGTACTAGCATCACTCTGTTGTTGTTCAGTTTCCATAGTTTTTTGCCTTCTTTCTTCTCGTTCCTTATCTGCTTGCAATGATTGTCTGATGAGTTGAGCTACTTCGCTGTTTTCCGGATCACGTTCACGACCAATGCTAAATTTCACTAGACCGGAAGTGTTTCTTAAAACACTAGCAGCATAAGCTTGAGTAACACCGACAAGACTCTTTCCATCAACTTCTATAATTTGATCATTTACTTTAATTCTTCCATCTTTAGCTGCCGCTCCATTTGTAGTTATTGTTTTCACAAAAATACCTACAAAATTTTCATGTACCTCAACACATGTTATACAAGTAGTTTACTCCAATACCTAACTTCTCCAAGCCCGCATCAGCTCCAACACCCATTCCAATTATACTGAGACCTAACCCTTCAGATCCTTTAACCAATTCTACAGGAAAAACATCCATTTTCTCTACGCGCTTTTCCAGTTCGTACTCCGCTGATGCCGCTACTGGGTCTACATCTTCATTACGTCTATCATATTCGGTTATGCTGAAAGTTGAATACACTTTCATAGGTTCTGTAGAAAAAGAAACCTTGCTTTGTTTGGAATAACGTATGCTACATTTTGTGTCCTCTTCTTCTTCTGTCAAATCTTCAGGTAATAATCCTGGAACTTCCATCCAAAAATGTCCGTCTTCAAAATAGTGCACGCCGTCTTCAACTCCCACAATCGGTATTATATCAGGAACATAATCCTTTTGTTGAGAATGAACCACTGCAGATAAGTATGTTATAGTACCCAACAAAACAAAAAACAAGAATTTTTTCTACCACTTTCATCCAAAAATGTGTCGATCTCGTCAACTTTATCAGTTTTAATGGCTTCCTCAAAATCAGTCGATTCGGAAACCTCAGAAATCATGGACGTATCACACGGTCTTTTTGAATCATGTAAGGAATCTCCACATGTGTTAACTGTGGCATCTTCTGCAATGGATTTACTAGGAATCAGCAGTCTGACTACTTCCTGTGCTTCTTCATCTGACAGAAGTTGATGATTAATTTGACTTAAATGCTTTTCCAGGATCCTGATTCAAATGAAAAACATAAGTATATATTGTTTTTATTATTATCTTAACATATACAAACAAATGAAATAACAAGCACAAATGGACAGTTTAGCAAGAAATGAGAAAAGTAATTAAAGACGTATTAAAATATTATTTTTTCAAGATTTTTTATTAAATGTTTCTATATTTTTATTTAAAGTGGTTTCTTGTTACCTGATTATTTATTTTAAAAGTGTCACCAAATAAAAAGAGAGCATTTACAGTAGGAGTCACTGTGGAATAGGTAAGGTGTTTAAAATTCATTAATAATTTTGCTACAACAGGCGCGTTAAAACTGGTATCGCAGCATGACTAACTCTAAAGACATATGGCTCTTCCTCCAATTGTTAATTGCCTGTCTAAATAATTGAAGATTTCAGTACAATGGTGCCATCTGAGAATGTAAGTGTTAAAAAATACAACATCGATTGAGTCAACTACGGTCTTCTTGATATGAAGATAGAGTTTCACCAGAGAACATAGAGAAGCGTCATAGTTGAAATCAAATGACGGTTGCGGATTCCTTAATTTATGTTGGTAGCAGGGTTTGTTTCTAACTAGGAATAAAATTAACTAAAGAAATGTCACAATACTGTTTTCTACAATCGCTATATAAAGTAGACATTTTTATTGTGATTTTAATTTCAAAATGGCACGTTTTTAGACACAAGTACGTAAAAGTGACATACGAGTGCGGAAAAGTATGCTAGTCGCACTTTTACGCACTGTTATTGTAAGTAAACAATAATTTACAAAAACGTTTTATTTAGTATAAACATTTACAGTACAATTATTTAAATTAATGGTATTTGTTGACGAAGATGAAGACGACGTTTTCTACTGGAAATGGCGGTAATGCATCTGAGGAATTCATGGGTTCGTTTTCAGAGATTTTTGATTTTTTGGAAACAACTTCTTTTTCACCTAGAATTTTCCTTGCAACAAGACTTTTGTTTTCCAAAGAATTCTCAACGTATCCTTCGGCATTGAAGAAGAACACCAACCCCCATGTCTTAAGTCGATACAACTTCAACCTCCTTTGCGCTCAAAAATGTATGCTCCTCTCTTCTGCAGGCGCCGGATATACCAACAATTAATGCAACCTTAAATGTTAATACTAAATAATTTCTTAAAATTGCAAATAATCGTTTTACCTTCATCAATAAATAACTTGTGTTGTCCGCTTCTTTAATAAATTTTTCTATTTCTTCTTCGGAAAATATTCTTGATTTTTTAAGTTGGTAACCCTCAGCTTTTCTTTTCAAGAATGCGATAACGTTTGTGTATTTACCAATGTCAATATTTTTATTCACGTACATTGTAGTTCGAAGCATTGAGTAAGTTACTCCATGAAGTTTTTAGCTTTTAGAGTTAAGGATATTTCGGAAAAATATGCCAGAATCACTTTTTTCTGATCACACCATTTACTAAACTTATTGTAGGTTGCTTCGTATACTTGTTTCGACTATTCAGGAATTACTGTTGTTAGGGCGGCTTCAGGTGCTTGTTCAACGTCGGACGGGATTTCGGAATCACTGATGCTGATGTTTTTATAATTATAGACACAATTTTATAATGTGTCCTTAATTCTTAGATCGAATAATACATTAAACTGCATTTACACTAAAACCAGGCACAATTGTATGGCACAATTGTTTTTGTTGATAAACAATTTCTTACTAGACCACCAACATTGTTACTAGTGGCTTACTTGAAGTCGTATCAATAAAAATTTAAATATTGTCAAATCAAGTGTCAATTTTAAATTAATTGTGAGAAATGTCACTTGAAATGTTTATGTTTAAATTTTGCTGCGACTGTAGAAAACATCTTATTTGCTACACGTGCGAAATGGGTCTTCACGTCTAGTGCGTAAAACACTACCATTTCGCAACTTGTAGCAAAAATGGCTATTAACGACGCGTTTCATTGTCGACAAATTGACACTAAATTTACCAGCATATTACAAGCTGCTTACTGTTTCCTTCACGTTCATTCAGATCACACGAATTACAATTACAGTGAAATAGGGTTTTTATTGGCATCAATTATTTAAATTTGGCGCTTGCCTTTCGGCGGTTGCGGACTCCAATGTCAGTAAGAGTGGTTTTGCAAAACCAGCCTCTATGTCGCATCTACATATATTAATCTATGGTTTCACTTTGTCCGGCCATGCGCGTGAGCAAAATTTTTGTATGACATATGACATTTAGCGGGAGTCCGGTAGAGACAGCTATTGAAAGACAATTCAAATATTGAAGTTATAAAGTTGGTTGCATAACAATTAATTTTTTTATTTTCAAACGTCATATAACTGACACTTATATGACGCTCTTACCGGGGTTTAAGTGTCATTTCTATGACACCGTGTTTGAGCGGCGTATAAGTACCACTTATACTCCGCCGGCGTATAAATAAAACATTTATACTCCGCCGGAGTATAAATATGTGAAAATTATAGTGGTTGTCAACGATAGTAACCATGGTAAGTGAAATCAAGGCAATTCCTTAATGAAGCAAGAAGATAGGAAATAATCATTTCAAAAGAAGATTAATCGTTTGAAAATAAAAGATTGTATTTCATTCGGAGTTTAAGTGACTTAATGTGACTCGTATGGACTTAATTCGCCTCGCTATCGCTCGGCGTTTAATCGTCCATACTCGACACATGAAGTATCACTTAAACTCCTAATAAAATAAATATCTATTATTTGAATTCTTTAAAGTGGTTTTTGAATATTTTTTTTAAGGTTCATTAAAAAAAGTGTAACATTTTTTATTAATTACTTCCCGAGCGTAAGCAAAGGAAGTATTGTAATCGAGTCCGTCGGCCGACTCTCTACTTTTACGCTTTCTCGATCTTTCATGACCCCTAGAAGACGTAGAAATAGGTCTCCCATTTCCGTCTGTCCATCCGTCTGTCTGCCGTCCCGAATTTTTATTAGGCAGATAATCTCCGAAAATACTGGACCGATTGTTGTGAAATTTTGTACTTATATTAGGAATATCATGTAGATGGTAAAACGCTAACCAAAATTCGTCTAATCATCCTCACCACTAATGCGATGACGTCACTTCAAAATTGTACATAGTAAATGGGTTTTAAATTGTATAAAATTACATAGTCCTACACATGTAGTTTACGACTCCGAATTGAGTTTTTAGCCGAAACGAACAGATTTTTGGAAAAAAAATCAAAATTATAAAACAACATTTTGCAATTTAATTATGAATCTGCTAACCCGAATGTTTTGAAATGTTGTACATGTTTTAAGGCTATAAAGAGCATCATAAATCTTTAGTCAAAATATATTTGGTTATCCCCTCCAAAAACTTGATGACGTCAGCTCAAAAGTTTGCCGAATAAATCCTATCTAAAATATACAAAATCTGATGAGTCTGTACTTGTGATATACCACTCCCTTCATATTTTTTGGATTTGCATATACAGGGTGACTCAAAAAAATTAATGAATGCGTAAATGTATTTTACTGATTTACTCAGGAACTACAAAACTGAATGCTTTGGAATCTTGAAGATGTTTTAAAATTATCATAGGCATGGTAAGTTTTTGATCAAAATGTATTTACTCATCCCCACTGGAAAATTTATGACGTCACCACTAAATTTTGCTGAATAAATCCAATCTAAAATGTACAAAATATGATGAGTCTCTTCTTGTGATTTATCATTCCATTCATATTTTTTCGATTTGCATATACAGGCTGACCCAAAACAATTAATGAATGCTGGAATTTATTTTATTGAGTTAACAGGAACTACAAAACCGAATGCTTCGAAATCTTGCAGTTGTTTTAAGGTTATGAAGAGCATAATAAATGTTTAGTCAAAATATATTTGTTTATCCCCTCCAAAAAATTGATGACGTCAGCTCGAAGTTTGACGAATAAATCCTATCTAAACTGTACAAAATATGATGAGTCTGTACTTGTGATTTATCACTCCATTAATATTTTTTGGATTTGCGTATACAGGGTGACTCAAAAAAATTAATGAATGTGTAAATTTATTTTATTGATTTACTCATGAACTACAAAACCGAATGCTTTGAAATCTTGAAGATGTTTTAAGGTTACATAGAGCATAATAAATTTTTAGTCAAAATATATTTCGTTGTCTTCTCCAAAAAACTGATGACGTCAGCTCAGAAGTTTGCCGAATAAATCCTACCTAGAATATACAAAATATAATGAGTCTGTACTTGTAATTTATCATCCATTCATATTTTTTGAATTTGCATGTACCGGGTGACTCAGAAAAAATAATGAATGCGTAAATTTATTTTATTGGTTTACTCAGGAACTACAAAACCGAATGCTTTGAAATCTACTGCGAAAAAAAAACATAATAGGCATGCAGTCGTCACGTTTCCGACAACTTTTGAGCTGACGTCATCAAGTTTTTGGAGGGAATAACCAAATATATTTTGACTAAAAATTTATTATGCTCTTTATAGCCTTAAAACATTTGCAACATCTCAAAGCATTCGGGTTAGCAGATTTAAAAATAAATTGCAAAATGTTGTTTTATAATTTTGATTTTTTTTTTTTCAAAAATCTGGTCGTTTTGGGTAAAAACTCAATTCGGAGTCGTAAACAACATGTGTAGGACTATATTATTTTATACAATTTAAAATCCATTTACTATGTACAATTTTGAAGTGACGTCATCGCATTAGTGGAGGGGATGATTAGACAAATTTTATTTAGCGTTTTACCATCTACATGATATTCCTAATATAAGTAGAAAATTTCACAACAATCGGTCCAGTACTTTCGGAAATTATCTGTCTAATAAAAATCCGGGGCGGCAGACAGACGGAAATGGGAGACCTATTTCTTCGTCTTCTAGGGGTCATGAAAGATCGAGAAAACGTAAAAGTAGAGAGTCGGCCGACGGACTCGATTACAATACTTCCTTTGCTTACGCTCGGGAAGTAAAATGTCATAGCGTTTCAT